GAGCCTTGGAGCTCTCTGGTTGGTCCACGCCAGGCGCGAGTACTCTTGCGCCGGGCGCGGATGTGTTGTTCTTTTATATGTTGGTATATGTTGATTTAAGTTGTTAATGATGAATGTTGTTGGGTTGAGTGATGATTGTATTGTGCTGTGAGATGTTCATGCTGAATTATGATGTTTAAGCTATATTGTTGTAAAAGTTGAGTTGTGCCGTATGTTGTATGCTGTCATTGCTGCTATATTGTGCTGTGTTGAATGCTGATATAAATTGTTATAGGTCGTAAGGCTAAGCTGTTGTAGGAGATCTCCAAGCTGATATGCGTGACGATGCATTATTTGTTTAATGTTGTTTTTTCTGAATGATGTGAGCTGAATATGTGATGTGTTGTATGTTGATCTTGCTGAACTTAATGGTGTGCTGATAGCTGTAGCTGATTATAATTTCTGTAATTATATATATATGCTGATTCTTTTCACTAGCTTACCCTTGTTGTTTCCATGTGGTTTGGATTGGAATGATCATACTATGTATGAGAGCAAAGCAGAGATATGTTGGTGTGTTGAGGTAGGTCTACAGCTGACAAATAGAGATGATACTTTGTTGTTGTAGGCTACTTAGTGTAGCAATTTGGCTATATTTTGTACTTTGACTTTGAACCCCAAGCTAGACATATATGTATAGATTCTATTTTTTATATATGTATGTTCTATTCTGTGTGGTGGTGTTTGTTGTGTGACGGCCAGGAGGGTCGTTACACAAATGTTCACAATGAATTCATCTGAAGCATTTGTTTCCATGCCTCTAACATGTGATACATAATCTTTTAAATTCTAAGATTGTAGATTATAAGCCTAACACTCAACCATACAAATTAACTTGTAAGGTAAGTGTTTCCCCAACTTATATACTCTTTAATTGTTTTATTTTCAATCGATGTGAGACTTGAAGTTTTTTTAAAAATATTAAACTTATAAATTTAAATATTTTTTTTTATTTTTCCTGCGGATTAAAATTTGCAGGAAAATCTGCAGGAAAAGTTACCTACAAATTTTCTCTACCATTTAGTAAACATTACTTGCAAATTTATTTTTGCAAGAAAATCTGCAAGAAATAAAATAAAATTCTTACAATATTTTTTGCAAATTTTTACCGTGGAATTTTTTTTCTATGATCATTAAAATTGTAGCAAAATTTATAAAAAATATCTACAAATTATTTTTCGCAAATAAATCCGCAAAAAATTTATGTGAATATTTTTTTTATGAAAATTCGCAAAAAAATTTCTGCAATTATTTTTTTTAGGAAAATTTATAAAAAAAATTTTGCAAATATTTTTTTCAGAAAAATTTGCAAAAAATGACATTTTTCTAATAGTAGTAGGAATACTGCATGATGAATCGGTATCTGAGGTGTTGTCGGTACCTGATACAAGGATGCTTCAATATTGAGTTGATTAGTGGGTATCCATGCTCTATTCAAACTCCTAAAGTCTGCAATATTCTCCCTTGTCGAAAGCTCTAAAGCATCACGCTTTTTCTTGTTTAATTGCATTCATCTCCTTATGTAGTATCTTAATAGCATATGAGAGATCACTTTGATCTTCCACAACTCGGCCAATACATTTGTTTGGGTTGCATGTCATTCATAGTCTTTCTTGTAGGCATCATCTTCTCCATAAATCTTTTTCTTATAAAAGTCATTCCAATATTCATGAAGTATCCGTCTTAATTAGAGTGATGTAATAAATGTGATATAAAAGTATCTTTTCATTTTAAAATATCATTATTTATATTATACTATTATTGGGTTTGGGTATCGATGGCTAATTAACTCATTTATCATTAATTACCTTTTACAAATAATCTTATTATGTTCTCAAAATATATGCCTAGGTGATCCTCGACAAGAATCCGAAGAATCCATAGATTAACCTTACCGATATTAGTTAAAAAGAAACAATTTGGGATAACAATAACATAAGTTAGTACTTTTAACTATTTATCTAATAATACCCATATAGAAGTAAAAAATCATAGACACAACTAATATATTATTTTCACACAAAATATTATGATTATATTTAAATATCCCCTTTGAGTTTAACTTCAAGAATAAAAAAAATTTCTTTTAAAGTAAACATGAACATAATCTCCTCCAAAATCCTTTGAGAAATAGTTGCTGCCTTATTGTATAAATAATTTCAAGCGATTTAGTAGGTCATATAATCAAGAGCTCAAGGGATTCTAACAATATTCAATTTAACTCAATGTAATACTTAAAGAAAATGGTGAAGCATTTGTACAATACTATTTATGCTTAAGGATATGCTTTAAAACATAAACATACCAAGGATATGTTTAAATGATCTGCGTGTAAACTTGCAACTCAAAATTATATCACAAATGATGATATCATATTAAGAGACTAAATCCTAAAAAAATTAAGAAAAGTGAGTTAGAGTTGAAGGAAGAAGGCTCAAGCTCTTATTGAGCTTTGAGTCACTTCTAATAACTTACTTTCCCTTCTTTCTAAATATTTTTTCTTGTAAATATTTTCTTAATTGAGAGTGGCACCCTATTACTTCTTTGAAAATAATTTGGTGCCATTCTCAATTACCTCACCTATAATCAAGAGTTTAATGTTCTTTTTCAAGCCTTCTAATCTTGGGGACAAAACTTTGTTCCTACGAAGACAAGGAATTTTAGTTGTGAATAGTTTAGTTTCTAGGAGTTTAGGTGGTCACATGGGAACACTACAAGAAAAATGACTTATGCCTACACACAAAAAATTTATAGGAGAAAGATTTCTTTTGATGAAAGATGTTTTGAAAGCAATTTTTTTTAAAGGTTAAGACTAAGTACTTGGAGGAATAAGTATACAAATTGAACTTTGGAGGGAGGTGACGTACTAAGAGCCACTTAATAACCAAGCCTCTTCAAGTAAAAATTACTAATCCCCCTTGTAATTAATTTCCACCAAAAATATTTTCAATGAAAATATTTTGAATGAATTGTGATATGTGAATAACTAGACGAGTTAACAACTAAACAAATGATTGCAAGAATTTAAAAAAATTATCTAAATGTTTTCCTAAGGTGAGAGCTTGAGAGGTACCAAAGACCAATCAAGGACCACTCCCACCAAGTCTAACGAAATTAAGTAACTAAGAAGAGATGGTTGTGTACCAAAGACACACCCAAGACACTCCTAAAAATGGCCAATTACAAAGTAATTAAAAGCTGAACAGAAATTAAACAAGCGGCTTCAAGAATTTTACAAAAACAACCACCAAGAATTAGTGAAGAATTAGAGACCAATTTTTCAATGAAAATTCAATTAGTAAGGAAAAATTTGGTCTCTAAATCCGTCACTAATTGTTCTATTTTTTTTAAATCAATATAAATCAAATTAAACTCCAAGTTGTCTCCACGGATTTGATTAAGTGTAGCAGCCACAAATTTTCTAAGTGACCTCACATGACTCTCCCTCACTTGCTTCTTCTTCATCCTCACTTGAAGATGGAGAAGTAGTAGCTTCATCTTGGCTACTATAAATGTCTTGGCCCCTTAGTATCATGACCTTTTTGTTAGGGCATTGAGAAGCAATGTGGCCTCTCCTAAGACACTTAAAGCAATTAATATCACTAGATTTGGTGCTAGTGTGTGAGGTGTTTTTCTTTTCTTTTTCCTCTTTTGCTTTACCCTTGTCTAGACTTTTGGAGGAATCAAAAGTATTTTTCTTTTCAAAATTTTTACCCTCCCTCTTGTAGTCAACCTTTGAATAAGAAGATGAGTATGAGCTTGTTTTGAAATTCTTTCTCAAATTTTGTTGTTCAACCTTGATACAAAGTTGAACCAAGTCATTCAAATCTCTATAAGGTAGAAGCTCAACCTTATCTCTTATTTCAAAAGTCAAACCACTCAAAAATCTAGCAATGGTAATATCTTCCTGCTCCCTAATGCCAGCCCTCATTAAATACAACTCCATGGTTTGTCTATATTCTTCCACAATCAAGTTTCTTTGATGGAGTCTTTGGAGCTTGTTGATAAGCACTCTAGTGTAGTATGAGGGAATGTGCCTCCTTCTCAAGGTACTCCTTAATTCATTCCAATATTGAATTGGAGGATCATTATGGAGACGCCTATCCCTAACAAGGGATGTCCACCAATACATGGCATGGCCTTGAAAGCTTAAGGTGGCTAGAGACACTTTTCTTTCTTCACTCACTTGGTGGCAAGTGAAGATTTGTTCAACCTTCATTTCCCAATCAAGGTTCCCCTCAACATCATTTTTGCCATGAAAATAAGGGAGATCTACTCTAGATTCCCTAGTTTTTGGGGTCCTATGAACTCTTCTAGGAGGTTGTTGGTAATGATCACCTAAGGCTAGGCTATCATCATGCATAGATTCTCCTATGGTTGAACTATGGGCTTGGGAGCTATGTTTACTTCGGTGTTTATGATGCAATTTTTCCTCTTTTTCCTTCAATAAACAAATTTCCTCCTCCAAAAAAGCAAGTTGAGCCTCCCTTTCAAGTTTTTCTTTAAGTCTTTGTTTGGACTCTTGCTCTTTCCAAATTTTTAGTGATCTTAATTCATGTGATACTTTAGAAATATCATTGTAATCACTTGAATTACTATCACTATGTGGAGTAGAAAATTCTTCCATTATAGGAGAAAGATTTCTTTTGATGAAAGATGTTTTGAAAGCAATTTTTTTTAAAGGTTAAGACTAAGTACTTGGAGGAATAAGTATACAAATTGAACTTTGGAGGGAGGTGACGTACTAAGAGCCACTTAATAACCAAGCCTCTTCAAGTAAAAATTACTAATCCCCCTTGTAATTAATTTCCACCAAAAATATTTTCAATGAAAATATTTTGAATGAAAGCAATTTTTTTTAAAGGTTAAGACTAAGTACTTGGAGGAATAAGTATACAAATTGAACTTTGGAGGGAGGTGACGTACTAAGAGCCACTTAATAACCAAGCCTCTTCAATAACGTGCATAGATTAGTGATAGTGGAATAATGAATCATATGTATCTCAATGATAAAAAATTATTGAACCAACCAAATTGCTTTGGTGAGGTGAACTTACAACTTTTGTTGCTTCCAAAGATTCAGTGATTAAGGTTGGAACTCCCGTACACTCAAATGAATAGTCCACACCCATTCCACCACTCAGTTCCTTGACCAATTCTGAAGTAGATTTATCAGAATCACTAGGATTTATAAAGTCAGTCATTCCAAAAGCTTCTCCTTTTTCTCTCTTCTTCTCATTTGTATCAATTCCAATTATCCTGGTTGCTCCATGCATTTTGGCTCCAATTACAGCCTGCAAGCAACACAAGTCACCAGGTCATTATCATCATGAATCGAAGTTAAAAAAAATTGACACAAACATATAAGATTATTTTAAGCATATATATACCCCTAATCCAACAGCCCCGAGACCAAAAACGGCTACAATGGATCCACTTTCAACCTTGGCTTCCTTCCAAGCGGCTCCAAAACCAGTTGAAAAGCCACATGAGATGAAACTGGCATGGATTGGATCAATGGTTGGCTCAACCTTGAGAACATAGTTGGCATCACTAACCATGTACTCTGACCATGTAGAACAACTTAAAATATGATATAGCCTCTGTCCTCGGACGGACATCCTTGAAGTGTTATCTGGCAGTAGACCGGTCCATCTAACCGGGTATGTCACACACAAATTGGTTTCTTCTGAAACACAATTCTCACATTCTTGACACTCGCCTATGTACGTGGGAATTACCACATCCCCTTCTTTCAGATTTGTCACTTGATCACCAACACTCTCTATAACACTATCATTAATGCAATAGATGAAATTAATAGTGGACATAGGACAATGTAACAACAAAAGTCCAATTTGTCAAGCTTTATTAATTATTATTTTAACGAAGATACTCTGGCATAAAAAGTTTAAAATCAATTAGAAATCACAGTTTATACAATCTTTAAGATAATTATTATAAAAAGTTTAATAAAAGTTTAATAATTTTTTATCATTGAGAAAACTGTTTGCAGTTCACATAATAGTAATACAGTATTTGAAGCTTTCACCTAATTGTTTTACCTTCTATTTTTAAAGCTAACATAACCTTTTTAGAATCAGATTAACATATATTGTGGAAGCAAATAGAAATTTTCAAGTATTTTTAGTGATCAATGATCATTACCAATTGTAGCAGGCTTATGATCTGGATCAACATGAAGAATTGTTTGGACCTCAGGCCTATTGAAGTATTCAATGGTAAAAATTACTAATCCCCCTTGTAATTAATTTCCACCAAAAATATTTTCAATGAAAATATTTTGAATGAATTGTGATATGTGAATAACTAGACGAGTTAACAACTAAACAAATGATTGCAAGAATTTAAAAAAATTATCTAAATGTTTTCCTAAGGTGAGAGCTTGAGAGGTACCAAAGACCAATCAAGGACCACTCCCACCAAGTCTAACGAAATTAAGTAACTAAGAAGAGATGGTTGTGTACCAAAGACACACCCAAGACACTCCTAAAAATGGCCAATTACAAAGTAATTAAAAGCTGAACAGAAATTAAACAAGCGGCTTCAAGAATTTTACAAAAACAACCACCAAGAATTAGTGAAGAATTAGAGACCAATTTTTCAATGAAAATTCAATTAGTAAGGAAAAATTTGGTCTCTAAATCCGTCACTAATTGTTCTATTTTTTTTAAATCAATATAAATCAAATTAAACTCCAAGTTGTCTCCACGGATTTGATTAAGTGTAGCAGCCACAAATTTTC